CCAACCCTGATGTGAACCCCAGACATGGCTGCCCACGGCCCAGCTTGACAACCAGTGCCTGGATGCAGTTGGGTTTTGGATGCATGCGAACCATTTGAAGATGATTCCAGACAAGACAGAGAGAGGTATTAGTGGTGGCCAGTTTGCATGATCTGGGGGCAGACTAGGATACCCATCATTAATGGTAGTTGAGCTTCACCTTGTTATTCAGGTTTGTAGCCTTGGGGTGTTTCTGGATCCTCTTCAGCAACTGGATCTCCACATGGTAGTGGTGGCTTGGAGCACCTTTCACTAACTTGCATACAGTGAGAAGACTGTGATCTCTTGTTGTAGATTTAGATCTCTCCACTATCATCCATGCTGTCATCATCTCAAAAGATAGATTAATGCAATACACTCTACAGAGGACTGCCCTTGATGACCATCTGGAAGCTCCAGGTGCTGCAGAATTCAGTGGCAAACCTTCTTATGGTCCAGAGTCCTCATTGGCTCTCAATAGCTTTGTAGGCATAATTCAAGGTACTGGTTCTGACCTAGAAGGCCATAAACAGTCTGGACCCTATGTACTTAAGGGACCACCTTGTCTTGACTGACCTTAAGGATTGAGATGGGGCATAAAAGAGCAGGGGCAGGCAAAATATGGCCTGCGGGCTGGATCTGGCCCACCAGGTCATTCTATCAGGCCTGTAGGGCCCCTAAAAAATGTAGAAAATTAATATTTATCTGCTCCTGGCTGCCTGTCAAAGATGACAAGAGCCAAGGGCAGTAGAACCTAGGGGGAGCTTGCAACAGGACACAGCAGCCAAGCCCTGCCCTACCCCCAGCCATTTCCTTGCCCTCCTGCCCCTGCATTGCTCCACCACCACATGGCTCCCAGAGGGAGAGGGGGACTCTGTGTGTGTGTGTGTGTGTGTGTGTGTGTGTGTGTGTGTGTGTGTTCGTAGGGTGAGTCCCATATGCACACCCCACCATAAACATGCAACTACATCCCCCCTCGGACTGCCATACATGATCCACACCCCACACATCCAAGCACACTCTCACATGCTCGCTCACCCCACACCCCCACACCTATCCACCCCCACAGACATACCCCCACCCTCCCCCACACCCTATATACCCACACACCCACAGCCCCCCACAAACCTATACCCCCCCACAATATACCAGACTAAGACTTCATTTTAAGCTAGTATATACAATCATCTCTGTGTATACTACACACATATGTAAAGCAGGATAAAAATATTTTTAAAAATGAAATAAATGAATGTTTTAGATGCTCGCTTTTTAAAATATAATTGGGTATTTCTCTGGTTCCAAGATGGCAAGACCCCTTCCTGAAAGGAGTTTTTCCAGGGGCAAGGGGAGGGACTTCTGGTAGCAAAGTCAGGTGTTAGGGGGTGAGGCTTCCAATTACAAGATGGCAACCAGGGGGTGGGGCACCTGTCAAGGGGCAAGGCTACCTATGTGGCCCTCAACAGCTTGCCAAAACTCACAAGCAGCCCTCCACTCAAAATAATTGCCCACCCCTGGTCAAGAGCAACCTCCTGTAAGTACCATCAATGCACCAGTCCTGCAGGTGAAAACTTGAGGGATGTCATTTTTGGCAGTCACTCCTCAGTTTTGGAATTTTTGGAAAGTTGGGATATAGTTTAGGGAGTTTTGTTTGGTATTTGCTTGTAAGTTATTTTTCCCTCTCACTACAAGCTGTCCAGAGCTTTGTTGAGGAGAGAAGCCTATAAATCTATAAATAAATAGTAAATACTTAAATAAAAATAGGAGAATTAGTGGAGACAAATTTAGCAAGGCAGCAATGGGCCTTTATCATTACCTTTGGCTTCTGTGCTCAGTCTGATTTAAGACATAGGGCGCATCTATACGTGCAATTAATTTGAATGAATAAACTCTGGTGCAGTTTGCACCGGAGTTTATTGCTCCTGGGTGTACCACATGTGAATGCACACCCAGGACTGCAGCACATTGAGCCAGGCATGGGACCCAGTGGGTCAGTCTGCCAGCACAGGGCTGCTCTGACCTGTCTCAGTGTGCTGTGGAGGAGCTGGCTGGGACATGAGGGAGCCCCTGCACTGAAGCACCCTCATGCTTCAGCCCAACCAGTGTCTTATACATCCATTGCAGTGCACTAACACCACTGCAGGATGTGTTTACAAGTAGTGTCCTACAGCAACATTTATTAGTTTACTGCAGTCTAATAGAGCCGCATGAGTAGACACTGAGGCTTTACTGCGGTGAGCTCTGCAGTAAATGTCTTGTAGGTGCACTGTAACAGAGGGCCTCCTCAGGGAGGATCTCCATGGCCTGCCCACCTGTTCTTGGGCCAACCGCCCGCCTTCGCCCGCCACGCCTTGATGTTAATTGATTCATTGATAGATGTCACTTAAGCGGGAGGCTGCCCATTTTGGTGCCCCGATGCCAGGGGGAGCTCTCTGCAGCTCCTTTCCTCCCCTACACTGCAGCCCAAGCCTCGCAGATGGCATCTTGATGTTCACGTCCTCACCGGCCCCCACACTGGGCCCCTGACTCCTCCTAACGGCAGCCCTCCACGATCCCTCCAATCAGACGGCCTCCCTGCCTTCATTCGGGCTGCTAGCCCCCCAAAACCATTTTCCCCTCTCCAGTGTGGTCCCCCCCGGGACCTTCGGCTACCAGCCCTGGCCCACCTCCAGGCCAGTCGGGACCCCAGGCCAGTCGGGACCCCAGGCCCCCGGCTCTTGGGTGTCCCTCGCAGTGGGCCCCTGGCCCTTTTGACCCTCCTGGTCCTGGCCCCAGCATGGGCCAGTCGAGGGTACTCTCTTGTTCGGGTCAGGTCTCTAGCCCCTCACTCTCTCCCAGGGTCCGCCCTCTGGGCCCCTCACAAACACTGGGGTTACCCACCCAGTGGTGGGGGCTAGGGGTTAAGGCGCCCTGACCCACCTTCCACCGGGGTGGTAACTGGCCTGGCATTTCCTGGGGGCTCCCGTGCCACTGAGAGCCCCACTCCCGGCAGGGG